AAGGAAGTCTTCTCTATTTCCAGTCAGATCTAGCCATACCTCTTATAGCATATTCTGCAGCATGACTTCAATTGATCATCATTACTAATCTACAAAGTGACCTTCTGTTTTAATGAGTGCAGTTCAAATTCTTTTTTTTTTTGTCGTTAGTTGGGGCCCTTGAACTCTGGGCCTGGGCACTGTCCCTGAGCTCTTCAGCTCAAAGCAAGTGCTCTACCACTTGAGCCACAGTGCCACTTCCGGTTTTCTGGTGGTTAACTGGAGATAAGAGTGTCATGGACTTTCCTGCCTAGGCTGGCTTTGAACCCAGATCCTTAGATCTCAGCCTCCTGAATAGCTGGATTACAGGCGTAAGCCACCAGTGCCCAGCTTCAAATTCTTCAGACTGCTCTTCTGCCATCAAATTCAGGTGACAAGGAGTGTACAACCACACACTCACTCATTCTGACCCTTTCCCAAAGAATGACTGGCAAGCTCTTAGCCACACAGGCTTCATAAGCCACGGGCGTTCGCAAACCAGCAGTGGCATCAGTTAGAGGATAAAAGGATGAAAGAAGACAGCAAAGCCTACTTAGTTCCCAGTTTTTCCTCGTGTTAACTTCAGTCACTGTGACCAGGTATGTAGGTTTCACCGGGATAAGTCCATCCTCGCTGTAAATTTCCAAGGTAATTGGATATTGTGTAACTGGAAACTTAAAACGTGGAACCTAAAACACAAATTCCACAAATGTATGTAAATTTTCCATATGAAAATTCATTTTGTTTCCTGGTGAAGAATCAGTGTGTATTCAGAGGAGCTATTCTAAATGAAGTTCCCGGTAGGATTTACACCTTTCAGGCCTGAACTAAATTGCTCAGGACTTCAAAGGCAGTACACAAATACTGAAATTTATAACTTTCTGTTGGCCCTTTTTTTTTTGTTTGTTATGGGGCTTGAACTCTGGGCCTGGGCGCTGTCCCTCAGCTCTTCAGCTTAAGGCGAGCGCTCTACCGCTTGAGCCACAGTGCCACTTCCAGTTTTCTGGTGGTGAATTGGACTTTTCCTGCCCGGGCTGGCTTTGAACTGTGATCCTCAGATTTCAGCCTCCTGAGTTGCTAGGATTACAGATGTGAGCCACCAGCACCTGGCTTGTTGGACTTTTTTTTTAAAAAATCAGGTGTTTTACATCTTTCAAACTTTTAAAAAATGTTGCTTACAGCCCCATCCCCCACTACTGCCCATTACAGTCCTCCAGGCTTTGGCTGTCAAGTTCAAATACAACTCCAACACCTGTTAACAGGTGATATTTAACAAGCTGTCCAGCTTCTCTGTGACTCAGATGAGATAAATCATAGAGAAGATCTAGAGCAGTGTGTAGCAGGAAACAAATGCTCAAGAAATACTGCTCTTACAGCAACCTAAAGGTGAGGCAAGAGGATCAAAAGTTTAAGGCCAGCCAGGGATAAGTAGGAAGACAAATACAAGAAGGAAGGAGGAAGGAAAAAAGGAAAAAAAAGAAAAAGGAAAAAAAGATGTTAATTTAACAGCATGGTTTCTATAATAACAACCTTTACAATTTAGTATTTGTTGATTTTATGTCCAACCCTGTATTATATATATCAAATCTTCATATAGTTACAAATATTGTCTATATACAATATACAGTCTTTCTTTATAGTGTCTTATGGTATCTTTAAAATGGATCTATCTGAATATTATACCAACTGCACATATGGTGTTGCTAATGTATACACATTATTGTATTAGTCTTTGGGTGCTTTAATACCAACAGAATGAAATGTTATTTGGCATAGAACCTGTCACTACCACTAGATGGAGCTCCTTGAAAACAGAGCCTTCATGTTCTTTAGTCTTAAGAATCTGATACATAATAGACTTTCAAAACTTTCTTCAATGACTCACTCTTGACATTATCAGTTAATGCATCCAGTTTAATAGGTTACAAGTTTCTATCATGTAACATAGTGTGTGTGTGTGTGTGTGTGTGTGTGTGTGTATCCCATGAGATGGACAAGGCAGTATTTTTATTTTACAGATAAAGTTAATTAATTCCTCTAGGTATATTTAAGTCCAGGATCTTCCAACTCTGTGTCAAATTCAGTTCTATGTCCTAATAGACATTTTTATTATGTCTGAATTTTCATGTTTAGCTAAAGGTGCATGTCCAAATCTTATTTATCAGAAAGTAATGAATAATTTCTTACTTTTTCTTTGCAGTCGGAGAAAGCGACAGAGTCTGAAAGCTTCTGGTCATTTGTGCAATTGCACTCCTCCCGGTTGGAGGCGCCAGCGCACTGTTTGTATTTCCCTGTTTCCTGCAAACAGAGGCAACAGACCTTGACTTGTTTGCTCTGTTGCAGGATTTCTCTGAACTGAGTAAGTATTCAATAAACATTTGTTCCCTGAATAAATTCAATTTCCAAGAAGTTAAAAGAGGAAAGTATTCATTAATAATAAATAGGACAGGTTTAGGGTGTAGCTCAGATGTATGGTGCTTGTCTAGACACACACGCACACACACATGCACACACGCACACACACACACACAGAGCCTACTAAAACAAGCATACAAAATTTCTGAATTGAAACAACCTCCTTGCATGGTAATTTGAGCCCAAGTATTGTTCATATACTGCTAGTTGACTTCAGTGCAGTTATTTTGGACCCAAAAGCCTTTGTCATTCACTGAGCTCCACTCAAAACCTCAGTCTAATCATATATATTCTTTTTGGCACTAGTGGTGTTTGGACTCAGGGCCTTGTGCTTGCTCTGCAGGCACTCTAGCTGAATTCAGGGCCCCGGCACTGTTCTGAGAGTTTTGCTCAAGGCTTGCACTCTACCACTTGAGTCATAGCTCCACTTCTGGTATTTTTGGTGGTTAATTGGAGATAAGAATCTCACGGACTTTGCTGCCCCAGCTGGCTTCCAACTGTGATCCTCAAATCTCAGCCTCCTGAGCAGCTAGGATTATAGGCATTAGCTACTGATACCTGGCCGTTTTGGTAATTTTTGAGATAAGGTCTAGACAATGACCAGTCTATGCCAGGTTGGGCATGGATTGAGATCTTTTGATTTTATACTTCTGGCTGTAGCTGATAGGCATGTACTACCAGAACCCAGTTTTTGTTTTTCTGTTGAGATTGAGTCATAAGTTTCTGGGTTTTTTTTTGTCGTGGGGCCTGAACTCT